AGGGGGAGGGACAGAAAAAGAGAGGGAGCGAGAGAGAGAGAAAGAAAGAAAGAGCGGAAAATATGGGAGAGAAAGGAAAGTTACAGACACATAGAGAGAGAAAGATAAAGGAACAGAGAGACGGGGAGAGAACAAAAAGGGAGAGAAAGACAGAGATAAGGAGAGAAAGGAAAGTGGGCGACATTAAAGAGGTTGAGTTAGAGACGGAGATGAAGATAGAAAAGAAAGTTACAGACAGAGAGAGGGAAAGAAAGAGAAAGAAAGAAAGAAAAGTTACAGACAGAGAGAGGGAAAGAAAGAGAAAGAAAGAAAGAAAAGTTACAGACAGAGGGGAGGGCAAAAATACAGAAACAGTAAAGAGAGAAACAGAATGCTGCTCTTAAAGGTTGTATAGAGGATTTTCCAAGGAAGGAGAAATCCAGCGACTGTCGTTTTTCAAATGTTGCGCATGTGTGAAACCACCCCCCCCCTCCCCTACAGCTCCTACGTAGAAACACCTCCTCCCGCCTCCTCCTTACGCCAGAAACAGGTTTGTTTACAGCCGCATGACTTGTAAACAACTAACTACAGTGTTGGTTAGGCAAGACGGAGAAGTGAGGAGCGGGGGGAGGAGCTGCGCGGACATTTCGTGCGCGGACAAGAAGTGAGGAGCAGGGAGAAGAACGGAACGGGGAGTGGGGAGAGGAGCAGAGAAGAGTGCGTGAAGATTCAGTGTGAATGAAGCTACAACTACAACACGCAGCAGCAAGCGGACTCTTTCTTTGCATTGAAAATTACGTTTTCAGACATAGGATATCGCTTTCGTGTCCTGAAAAACGTTTGTGTAGCTCTTGGAAATAAAGTACGTTTTCATAATAAGCAGAAGTTTCCTGTCCAGGAGTAATTTGTGGACCAGTGCGTCAGTCTTTAGACCCTGCGTCTGCTTCAGTCGCGCCATCGCTGGAATGAATCTTCAAGAATCACCTTAGTTTGGCTTCGCTGCTTTTCCCCTTGTCTTCTTCTTTCAGCGACCTCAAAAACAGGACTTTCTTTTGCGGCGAACTGCTCGTAGATTCTTGTCGCCATTGCAACAAACTTTGTGCGAACTGCGAGGAAGATATAGGTCAAAAAAAAGCCGCTAAGAACTGTTGCGTTGGTGGAGTAAACAGCGTCTGTGCGTCTTGCGTCTGTGGACTGTGTGACAGTCGTACGTAAACCACGTACCGGCGGCGCAGGCAAGTCAGTTACACTAGAAACGTAGGGAGATTGATTGACAGCCTGTCAGCTCACAGATAACGAGGCAGTGTCGTTATCTATTGGCAAATGTTTAGCCCCACCACGTCCAGAGTTGATGAATTTTTATTCTCTTTTTTTTGGTCATCATAATTACAAGGCTACTGCATCTATAATCTATCATTGACAACTTGAAACAAAAAAAATCCTCCATACAACCTTTAAATTGTCACGAGTAGAGTTTGTTAAAAATGTTTGTATTATTAGCGGCGATATAATGCGCGAAATATGTTTTGTTGTTATTGCTTTGCCTGGAATGTTCCACAGTGTAGCTTTAGACTTATCTGTCCTGTGTTTACTCAAGTTGAAGGTGTTTTAATGCATTTAGAAACCTGCATTCTTCTACCGTGAGCGGGCTCGCTCCTCCAGAGATCTGACCCGTAGCTTGGCCTGGTGGCATCGCGCGCTGGGTCTCCGTGGCGATAGATGTGTTTAATGTCACCCTGTGGAACATTCCGGCACGCGGGACCCTTCCAGGACAGCACAAAACGTACAAAAATCAAACTATTATTATGTGTTTTACGAGGTATTTTTGAGCTATAAAACCTGTAAATGAATAAATTAATAATAAATATGAATGAATGAATAAATATGTAAAAACTTTAGAACCTTAAAAGTTACGTAGTTCACCTTTTATAAGAGAAGAAGTTTTTTTAAAAAGTGCAGCTCGGTTTAAAGCGGCAGAAACCGGTGGAGTCCAGACGTCTAGACTCAAATGGATCAAATCTGTTTCAATACAATTATTCACTCTGATTGAAAAAAAAAAACACATCAGACTTTTCCTTGGAGAGGTTCAAATGCACCACACACGCCCATCCCTCCCTCCATCCCTCCATCCATCCCTCTTTCTCTCCTTCTCTTTATCTTTTCTTCTCTTTTCATTTCTCTTTCTCGCTTTCTTTCTACTCTCTCTGAAGCTCTTTGTCTCTCTCCTTTTCTTAATTTCCCTCTATTTCATTCTCTTTCCCTCAGAGAGAGAGAGAGAGACAGAAAGGAAGAAAGAAAGAAAGAAAGAAAGAGAGGGGGGCAAAGATGGAGACAGAGAGGAAAGTTAGATAGATAGAGAGAGAGGCAAAGACGGGGAAAGAGAGAGAGGGGGGGGAGCAAAAATGGAGAGAGAGAGAGAGAGAGAGAGAGAGAGAGAGAGAGAGAGAGAGAGAGAGAGAGAGGCAAGAGAGAGAGAGAGAAACAGAGAAAGAGAGGGGGGCAAAGATGGAGACAGAGAGGAAAGTTAGATAGAGAGAGAGAGGCAAAGACGGGGAAAGAGAGAGAGAGAGGAGCAAAGATGGAGAGAGAGAGAGAGAGAGAGAGAGAGAGAGACAGAGAGAAACAGAGAAAGAGAGGGGAGCAAAGATGGAGAGAGAGGAAAGTTAGATATATATAGAGAGAGGCAAAGACGGGGAAAGAGAGAGAGAGAGCAAAGATGGAGAGAGAGAGAGAGAGAGAGAGAGAGAGAAGAGAGAGAGAGAGAGAGAGAGAGAGGCAAAGATGGAGAGAGAGAGAGAGAGAGAGAGAGGGCAAAGATGGAGAGAGAGAGGAAATTTAGATAGAGAGAGAGAGAGACAAAGACGGGGAAAGAGAGAGAGAGGGGGGAGCAAAAATGGAGAGAGAGAGAGAGAGAGCAAAGATGGAGAGAGAGACAGAGAGAGAGAGAGAGAGACAGAGAGAGAGAGACAGAGAAAGAGGGGGAAAGATGGAGAGAGAGACAGAGAGAGAGAGAGAGAGAAAGAAAGGATAGAAAGGAAAGTTGTAAGAGAGAAGGGGGGTAGACCAAGTAAGAGAGAGGGAAAGACATAAAGAGAGAGAGAGAGTGGAAAATTACACACTCTGTCAGTCTCTCTCTGTCGCTCCTTCTCTTTCTTTATCTCTCTCTTTCTCTGCAAAATAATTCTGTTTATTCTATAAATCAGGTTAAAATTTAATTGATTATAAGAAAATATTATTGGACACTTAAAAGAAAATTGGTTTTACGTGAGCCTGTGTTGATATTTAAAGGTTCACTGTGTAACTTTTCTGCGGAGATGTGACTGTTTTGTCTAAAATGCTTCACAATATGGCATTAAACTTATCTGTTTCCTTGGCGACAGAAAGGTACCATCATCAGGTCAAGTTGCAAATCAGATCTGTGGAGAGGCGGCCGTCCTCATAATAGGAATAGATCATTTTAAAGTATTTTGGGGCCAATAAAAATAACTGTAACATAATTTTTCTGACTATATGTTGCTCTGGACTATAAGTTGCACTTTTGGGGGGAAATATATTTTATAAAATCAGAGATCAGGAACCGACATTTCATTTTAAAAGTGAAGTTCTAGTAAAAACAATAGAAGAGAGAACAACAGACTGTTAACGTCACATATGAACAGTTCTTCAGATAAACTATAACATAAACAACAGAACAGAACAAGTTTAACAAACTCTCCATCTCACTCCAAATCACTAAATCCATTCAATTCTTCATCCTCGGTGTCACTTCTGAGCAACTCCTCGACCTCCGGAGGTAAACAGAGCGCCGCTTCCTCTTCTGTGTCGCTGTCGTCAGACTCAGCATCAGTTCCAGTTAGAATTATTCGGGTCTTTCTGAATCCCGACAGGATGGTTTCGGTGTCGCTGAAGTCCAGGCTTTGTCCATCCATCCAGTGACTTCAGGAAAGTTTCATGGTCGTCCCAAGTTTCTCTCTCACTCCAAACTTTCTTTCTGCTGCTCGATTACCGTTTTCAGCTGCAGATTTCTCTACTTGCAGTTTGTAATCTGCGAAGTCCGAGTTTCTTTTTGGGGGCATTTGTGTTCAGCCTTCTCAGTGTCTTTATAAGTTTGTTTCAATTTGTAGTAGAAGTCGAAGTAACGGTGCGATCGACTGACATGATACAGACACGACAGAGGCTCTTTCTGCAGGAGACATGCGCAGTAGAGCCAAGTGACAGTGGTACAGGAGGAACAGGAGCAGCAGATACTCACACACAAGACTAGAACCTCTCGACGCTTCACTGTGAACATGTTAATATATGTTCAAGGTTGTATGGAGGATTTTTTTAAGGGAGCAGGATTACTGTTGAGTTTCCTGTCTAGAAGTTCAAGCGAATTCGTCAGAAGTCGTCTGTGATCGAGAGATCTCCAAGAATCACCTCAGTTTGGAGCGACCTCAAAAACGGACTTTCGCGCGAACCGGTCGTGGATTCTCGTCCGCCGTCGCGACAAACTTTGAGAGAGAGAAAAAGGCCTCAGAACAGAAATCAGAGTCAGAGAGAGAGAAAGAGGGAGAAAGAAACAGTTAATCAGACAGATTGTTTTCAGGTTGAGATAGAGAGAAGACAGAGAGAAAAGCAAAGAGGGTGGAAAGAGAAGGAGAGAAAGCGGGAGAATTACAGAGAGAGAAATCTGTAGTGTAAGTCGCAGGAAACACCCAAACCATGAAAAAAAGTGCGACTTATAGTCCGAAAAATACGGTAATTTCATATATTCAAGCTTTGCTGTGTCTAAAGCCATTCCGTGGAACATTTCAAGTAAACCAATAACGTCTCCTTGAAGATAAGCAGGTGGTTTACCAGAAAATTTACAGAATGCACCTTTATATTGGCCAAGAGATTGTTTTTTGCTCTGGGATTTTTGCGATTATGGCTGATTACGAGATGTAAAAAAAAAATTGAAAACTGAAATTATGGTCAAATGTGTAATAAAAAATACATAAATTATAATTGATAATAATAAATCTTTGTTCTTTCCACAGTTTTTCATTGTTTGATTCTGGGACGTTACTTTGATCTGCTTCTACAAACTGGGGCCAAGTCTTCTAACCTCTGTAG